GCTGTCGATGAACGATGAACACACTCTTTTTAAGAATACGTTTGATTACAATACTGTCTACCGTCTACCATAGCTACTACTTTGTAAGTCAACAACATCGTAACGCAGTGACAATAATATTTATATGAACGAGTACCGTACATTTGGAATTTAATGAAAGTTGGGGAAACAAAAAATTGTAGAACCATGTAAGAAAAATACTTGAATATATAGTCTACACCAGTTTTTCACGTAGATTTCATTGGAGCCATCAGGAATCAGCAAAAACCGCGGTAAAACACTGCAATTTGCGTCTGAAATTTTGTCCGTGAGTTGGATTACTTAGAGTTGCGCACGTGCCAGATGTGGTCGCATCAACGATTTGAATAAAAAATTCGATATTTTTCGCTCACATTTTACTGACAACAAACAGACCAATCCAGATTCATCCTTGGTCGTCACCATGGTACCAAAGGTAGTTAAAATCTTATTAACCACTAATGCTTCAATAAGTAGTAGAGCTGCTATTACTATCAATTGTGTTGAATTGGCACCTGAGTTTCACTATCTACTCTTGGGAGCCTCTGTGGCTCACAAGTCTTGCTTGCTTCTTCAATCTTGATCTTTGCTGCTGGTTTGGCATCATGATGCAGAACCAAACCTTTCCTAAATCCAGATCCCTTTTACCTCCGGCCTCCTCTTTGGCTGCTTCCCGTACGAATCATCTCTGCACGTTCCTCAGCTGAGAACTCACCTCATGTTCCCCGTTGTTTTGCAAAGTCATTCAATGTACCTTTACTTTTTCTAATTTCCTCCAAAGCCTGAAGCCAAAGCATACAGTCTTGAACTATTCTTTCTGGAGTAGGCGCAACACCTTCTGTTGGATGGAGAACCCTTTTGTAGGCACGAGCACCCTCCTTGGGTCACTTTCCATAAACGGAAGTGATTCACACATGCTGTTCAACCGAAACATGGGCATCTTGATTCAGATTGTTATCCCAGGGCATCAACTCCGGAGAGTCACCAGGAGGTCGCCCCCGGTAATGTTTAAGGGCTGTGTCATCTTCAAATAGTCCCTGCTCTGGGAGGATCCATCTGTGATATATTCCTTTAGCCTTCATGTAATCAATGAGATCAGCGGATGTCATTAGTGTAAGGGCATCATGGTAGAACCTCCAATCATCCTCAGGTTTTGTCCCTGTCATTGTTTGGGCAGACTCATGAACAATATGGTCTACCTGATGAGCAATAGAAACGGAGCCATTTCTGTGCAAAACCTTTCTGAGTTCTTCCTCCCAACCTTGCCCATACCTAGACTCAAATGGGTTTTCTGCCTTTCTGTGATCAACTACCTCTTCGCCATCACCCTCAACAAGGTTTTCCTTTGCCTGTTTGTACCAGCTCTGGAGCTGATCTTCTCTCCACTTGCAGCCAGGAGGACAAGGATTGAGACGATCAGCAAATGTTCCTTCAGTTTTGATCAGATCTTGGATGGTGAATATGTTGGTCATCTGAAATTGCTTCTGTAGTACTTTACCAACACGTTTCAAACCAATCCTGACAGTGTCATTGCAATAGCACTTATCCTTGACTCGGGTTTTCAAGTCCACATGTCAGACGCCAGGATGGAGGTGTTGGCATAGACTTGTTGGAAGAGGCCGTAGGAGGTACCGGTTTCAAGCTGATGTGCCTGAAGGACTGCCTCCAAGAAGGCGCCCGTTTTGGTCCGGTTAGCCTTATGGCAAAGTAGCATGTCCAAGTGCTTGATGACTTGGAGACCGTAAGGATGAGGGACACCCACTCCTTGGAGTGCAATGGGGGCATAGACCATAGCACGAGGAAAGTTGCGGCAGATACCAGCCTTTGGAAGTGCCGCCCTGAGCACTGGGGAGAGGAGCTGATCCCACTCCTGTTGGGACAAGAAGGTGAGCGCCATGGGGTACTCCAAAGTCTTCTGGATTGTGGTG